GTACTTTCCAGAGTCTCGATAGGACACAGCTGGAACGCTGAGGACGGACCAGGTGATTCCCTCCTTTGAGGTTTCCTGCTGGACTGTGATGAAGGGAAAGATGATCAAAATTATTATTAATGTTAATATCACTGCAGACATGTGGACTTGACTGTCAAACTCACTTGTTCCATTCAGGACCCGTCCCTGCGCCCTGCGCCATGTCAGATCTGGGATTGGAACTCCGATGGTACCACAACGCAACAGCACGTTGTTTCCAACAGCACTCCGGACTCGTGCCACGGCGGTATGGATACGTGGCAGCTGACAGCGCCGCGGCTCTGCGTCACTGAACAAAACTCCAGACACGCTCTCTGGAGCTGAACATCGCAGCTGAGAGTCTATGAAGGCCAACGAGATCGTGGGAGACTTCTGAAACTGGACCAGGTCGTAGAGCCGGCAGTCACACACCCAGGGGTTGTCGTGAAGACCTGAGGATGAGGCTGCACGTGAGTCTACAGGGGAAAGGCCAGCGTCCAGCTGTGACAGACCAGCCAGCAGATGGCTGGTGTGGATGTTAGGATTGGTAATCCTGTAAGAGGATTAACATTTAATTCATAACCTACAGGGTGACCGTGTCTACGGCAGTGATGATGGAACATGGTGCGTTTGTTTTTCTACGTCCACCACCAGAAGAACAAGCACATGGCTCAGAGCTGTAGAGCTGTCCATTATTCTGTGTGTAAGCAGTGATTCAACACAGAAGCCAACTTTGGAGTGTGATGATGATCATGATTGATTGAAGTGATTTCTGTACAATTCAATTGTATTTTATCCTAAAATTGTACAACCAATATATAGACAATATCAGGTTAAATATATCAATGATCCTCATTCCTCCAGGCTGCAGTGAATAAACACTGATATAACGTACAGTATGGTGGTACAGTGTGGTTTTCCTTCTGTAAAATGTTAAATCTCTGCAATTTTACAAAGGGTCAGATTGGAACTAACTTCCAGATTGACTCACTGGTTAAACAGGAAAACAACAGAGAAGAAGAGACTGTGGGAAACTGGAGACTAGCATTAAAAACAAAGCTAACAAAAAAAAATTAAAGTAGGTTAAATTTCCGTACAGATTTTTTGCAATGTCAAATCTTAAGTGTCATCTTATATTTACAAGAGAAGTTTCATATACATATCCTAATGTGTCATAGATGGAGACATTTTTATATAATCTATTTCAAATTGTTTATTTCAATGTAAATCTAATAATAAGTCTGTGATAAATAAGACTTTTATTTGTGCATTAACTTCACACATGTATCGACTGGTGTATGGATGACACTTACCCAGTATGATTTTGGAGCTCTCCGGTCCCTGTGCTGGTTTCACCGTCAACCAGGAGGCCAGCACCTCAGCCGGCAGGGTCACCATGTTGTTGCTGGAGAGATCCAGGTACGTCAGGTTCTTGGTGTAAGCTGTGGCCTCCGCGGGCAGAGAGGTGAGCCGGTTGTTGTGCAGATCGAGAAGTCTAAGACTGGGCATGTCCATGATCGATTCCCAGGGAAAGGAAGTGAGAGCGTTCCCATCCAGACGTAGCTCTTCCAGGTTGAACAACCCCCGGAAACTGTCCAGGTTCAAGGTGGACAGGGTGTTGAAGGACATCCAGAGGAACTCCAGACTGAAGAGGTAGTTGAAAGCCCCGCTCTGTATCTGCTGGATGGACGTCTTTTCGATGCGCAGCTTCGACGTGTCAACGGGGAATCCGGCAGGCACAGAAGAGATGTCCGGGTCGGTGCAGATAACACTCCTGTGGAAAGACACGAGTGAATGTTCACTCTCATTATTATTATCGAGGGTAGTTAAATTATGAAATGTCATTGAATGATTAAAATATTTATAACTGTGGTATCTGCAGTGATTTTGTAGGAAAAGTATTTCTATTATCGGACAAACACAGAAATACGCTGACAGGAAGTGTCTATTAGAGACAAAGCTATAATAATAAATACAAGTAATCCAGTGAAAGCAATCAAAATCAATCAGTGAAAAATCAGTGTCTGAGAAAAAGACATTTCTGCAAAAAAGAAAAGAAAAGAAAAGTGCGTCTGTGCGTAAAACCATAACCACGATGAAATAAAAATGAAAGTCCTGCGGGTGTGTTTGGGTTTGTTTTGTTTTTACCTGGCCTTGGACCCATCACTCAGGTTGTGGTAAAAACAGCTGCACTGTGACGGACAGGTGTTCACTGCAGCTTCACCTGTGGCCGCGCAGAGTCCCACGAGCAGAAGGAGGTGCATGTTGGCACGCTTTTACGCATACGTGCGCCCAGTTTGCGCAAAAGGACTTTCATTTACGGGGATTTTGTTCTCATGGATGTTCCCATCGCCCTGCCATCCCATAGTGATCAGACTGGTTTGATTCCAGAGATAGGAAAGACGGATGTGCTAGGATTAGTGACAGACTGGCGTCGTTTGGTTTGGATGCGTGCTGCATCCCGGGATCCGATTGGATGCGCAGAGCCGTCCCAATTTGTCATCACTCCCTAAATGGTCATAATCCACTGAGATTTGTTATTATGGCCTTTTTCTCTTAGCTTTCACGGCTGTTCATCTGAGTGGTCAATGTTAAATCTGACCACACGGTGCCTCTGTCGTCACAGTGTAATTTAAATGTAGCAACCAAGGGTCTCAGCATCGAACCTCTTCGCTGCTTCATTTATACAGATGATTGTGTTAACAACATTTAATTAACAAATATAACAATGTCACGTGTTCGAGGTTGATGACGACACTACGACACGTGTTAAGATTGTACCCGCAGACAACTTGGACGAACAACACAGAGAGCAGGGCATTTCAAAACACTATCATAGCCCCCCCTACAGGGCGATAAAGGACACTTTCATGTAGTGTTAACATTACAAATGTTCCCCACTGGTTAACCTAATCATTATGGTTGTGAGACAGTGTTTGATATGGAACAAAGACCACAGCCCTGTGATAAAATGTCTGTTCCTGCAACTTTAAAAACCTTTTGTTTGTTGTTGTTTTTTTACATCCTACACTTCTCATAAAGATGAAGTAATGGCAGAATAAATACATGTACAGTGTGGTTAGACAGGATTAACTTGGATTTTTTAAAAGAAAATCTTAGATTATAACACTTCTACGACAACAGTAGACACCCCCCCTCCCCCCACCTTCACACCCTCTCTATTTAATCCAGCTGTTGTTGATTTGAATAGAAGGATTTCAGTTTGTCACTGCGATTTTGGGAAACAGTCAAAACAACCAAAACACATGTATTAATAAATTACATGTCTCCGAGTCACGGGTATTTTTGGTTTTAGGACCGTGCAGGTCGGTGCTGCGGCCGTTGGCTGTTGAGCAACCGTGTTCTTTTGTGTTGAAACATATACATTCCACATAGGGCGGCAAGTCCTTAATCTCATTTGCTGAGGAAATAAAGCTTTCTTTAAATATTGTACGACCTGCAAGAGAGGATTTGGTTGGGTGTGCAACGTCATTGTGATGGTGCACAGAGTGATGTGGGCAAAAACAGGATTCAAGGCTCCAGGTTCTCTACATACACCTACAGCATAGGGGGATATTTCCACTCAGGTGTATTGATCTTGTTTAGTTCTATGGATCTAAAAAAAATGAATGTATTAAATTACCTAGGAGTTTCAACTCCTCCTAAACACAGATAAATTCAACTAAATCTTAACTCTTTGCATTGTCATATGATGCAGCTTTTTTATACATTCTCACCTACATTTCACAAGAATCCTGATCTTATAATCCACAGACTGAGACAGACCCCGGCCACACAATGTCAGCCTTTTTCCCCCCTCCTGCCCTTAAGGCATGAAAAGCTGGGAATGATGTTGCAACTGAAACTTAAAAGTGCCCTGTGTAAGATGAAGGTGGAACTATAGTGAATGGAATAGAACGATGTTCACAGGATTACATTCTTATGAAGCTAAAGTTAATCTAAACCTGAGTGTTTTATCTTCTTTCTTTCTTTTTTATCTAACTGTGAATTAACAAACACCTTTTTGAGTTTTGGTGTCTCATGATGTACTGTGCAGTTACAGTGCTAATAATGACCATAGTCTACAATAAGCTCTCCTAGGTGAATGTACAGGGAGGATGAAGTAAAGAATATTTTACCACAACATGATCACATTTCATTCACAAAAGAATTTTAAATGATCTAACGTGGGGTCTGATTTGTTTTATTAAATCCCGGAGAGTATTTTTCACCACGTGGGTAAAACAAGACAATATTTAGAGATCTAAAACAAAAAAAACTCACTTGCGCCCCTTGTGGTGCATTCAGCATTATCACTTTGGTGTCATTGATTTAGTGAATGGACTGCATCAGCAGAAACCAAGAGGTGACAGATATGCAGTATTACTGTTTTTACCATAGTTTATCTACACATGTTCCCTGTAGGACGACACGAGGCAGTTGTTAATGGAGTCAGTTACGTTCTTCTGAGATCAAAGGTCGTATCGTAGATTATTCAGATCAATAATAAAACAATAGTGTTTCAACCATTAGGTCTGAACCGTGAGATCGTGGCCGCTCCTGTCTGCTCTGCTCACTGACACTGAGAGCAGCTCTCCCTGGATGTAGCTCCGTGCAGACACCTGTTGTTGCTCCTTAAAGTGACACGTTTCCTGCAGTGAGTGCGCACCGGGGTGGGTGTGGGGAGAGAAGGGGGAGGGAGGAGAAGCGGGGGGGACTCAGCTGCAGCAGCAGCCGCCGCCGCATCCTCAGCCGCACACTGCAGCCACATACAAAGGCTTGTTGTGTGCAGGCAAACTAATTGAGAAGGGCTTTACTACTGCGGCGCATTATCAGGGTTACTGTTGGTGTGGTTATGTTCATTAGGACATTCCTGCGCGGATTGGGGCGACACGGCGAAGGAGGCTTTACATAATAAAGTGCATGCTTTTTCACGTGAAATGTCCCTTTAAAAGAGCACTCTCCTCCGTCACACCGAGACAGATCGGAGTAGAAAAGGGCAGAGAGGAGTGAAAAGTCTGGTCCAGCGGCACTTTGGTTGAGTGGAATCGGCATCAGGATGGTCTCGTCTTACCCTTTACCGGACGGCTTCACCGAGTTTGAAGTCTTCTATTTTGGCTCGTTTCTGCTGGTGGAGGGTGAGTGGCTTTTCTCCTTTTTCTCTCTAATGCTTTTATGAACTCAAATTGTGACAAATGCTCCGGGCTGCCCTCCGTGGTGCACAAAAATGACCTAACCCGGGAGCTGGGGCAACTGTGGACACTGACACTGATGGAGTGAGTGCAGGATGGTCTGCAGGTTCTATCACACACACACGTTTGAAAGAAACTCCAGTTTCCTCGTGGTGTTAAAGATGACTCACGGGAGTGTGTTTACTATTTTTCCTGCTGCATGTGACGCGGGGAGCGCTGCCTCCATCAGTGCAGTCCGCTGTGAGCACTTGCTCGGTTTCAATTGTCTTGTGTTTCATCCCAAGGTCTGATGGGCTTCTGTCTGAATGCCATGACGATCGTTGCTTTCCTCAAAGTGCGGGAGCTGAGGACCCCCAGCAATTTCCTGGTCTTCAGCTTAGCCATGGCTGACATTGGCATCTCCATGAACGCCACCGTCGCTGCTTTCTCCAGCTATCAGAGGTGAATGATGTAACCAGTGGGGGGCTTTCTTTCATAACAGCCTCTGTAATGTGTGTGCAAATAAAGGAGCTATACCTGAGCTGGAGGTGAACAAACACCACAAATCTCTGTGGAGCAATAAATCCATGCACGGGTGAGTCGGGGGGAGGGAAAAGGTGAGTGCGTTGGCCAAGCTTGTGGAGAAGCAGAGGATTTTCAAAGTAATCAATGGATGACAGATGCTGCTGCCAGTGGGATTATACTGGGTTTCCATCAAATGTACTGCCTGTGTTTGTCACGCTCCGCCGACTGTTGACCTTTATCACTATGACGATGTTAAAATGCGGAGAACACATTGGTAAACTCAACCTGTTATTACCAGGTCTACATCGTACATGTTTGAACCTGCACGCAGCTGAAGGACATGTATGTTTCACATTCTTTTACTATGTTAAAAAAACAAAACAAAAAACCTCCCGTCTTCAGGTACTGGCCCTATGGCTCCAGCGGATGTCAGACTCACGGTTTCCAAGGATTCGTCACAGCTCTTGCCAGCATCCACTTTGTGGCAGCCATCGCCTGGGACAGATACCACCAGTACTGCACCAGTAAGTTAACAACCCCCCCCCCCTTCCTGCCCCTTCCAGGCACACACAAAAACACAACACACACACACACACCCTCTGTTTCTTTGAAAAAAAAAACCACCCAAGACGTCTTTGTGTTCTAACCAAACTGGCTGCAGCGACCTGTGGTAGGTCGACCTATCTCAGCGGTCATTAGGCGAGGGCAGGTTTCACAGTTATCCAGTCAATCCCAGAGCCACGAGTTGAGACAAACAACCATTCACACCCACATTAAACAGCTAGAGTGGATTCAGAGAAATGAATCAATATATTTTGGAGGTTTTTGAACTGAGAATCTGTACTGTGTATTGTATAAAGAAAAAATAGGGATGAACCAGCGAACCGATTATCAAGAGCCTCAACCACTGCACCACTGTTCAGCCCTCATGTCTTTTTGATTGTCAGGAACCAAACTGCAGTGGAGCAGCGCTATCACTCTGGTCATATTCATCTGGATGTTCTCTGCCTTCTGGTCGGCCATGCCTCTTCTGGGCTGGGGAGAGTACGACTACGAGCCCCTGAGGACCTGCTGCACCCTGGACTACAGCAAGGGAGACAGGTGCTCGTTTTCTCCATGCTCCAAGTCATCCGTACAACCAAGGTCACCATGATTCCTAGAGTCATCTCTCTCTCTCTCTCCCTCCCTTTCTCCACACAGAAACTATGTGTCCTACTTGATCCCCATGACCATCTTCAACATGGCCATCCAGTCGTTTGTCATCATGTCCTCCTACCAAGCTATTGGAGAGAAATTCAAGAAGACTGGAAACCCCAAGGTAAGCTTGCAGAGAAGGTCCTCAGTCCAGCAGTCACTAGGACCGTATGTCAGAGCCTGGATGCCTCCTGGCTCTGACATACATCATATACAGTGGTCCCTCTCCTATCACGGTAGTTGCGTTCCAAGACTAAAATTTTGCGAGATCGGATTTAAAAGAAAAAAATCGGCGATATACTGAGGCAGTGAAAGAAGTGTGATATAGAGAGGGTCTACTGCAGTAGGTCAGTGCCACAGGCAGAAAGCAGAGGTTTCAAAGTGAGTGAGTCAGGAGGATAAAGAGACAGCTGAGCCGAGCGGCAGATTTCCACAGGGGCCTGGGTCTCCTCACTACATGTTGTGTAAGATCATTACTCACGCTCATCTGAGTTTCCCGGCCAAGCTTTCAAAGACGGCGGAGTGGAAACACCACAACATACGCAATTATGCGATGAACAGAGGCCTGATGATGACGGTCTCCAATGAAACAGCCAGTCAAAGTAAGATTTATATGTCAGAAGAACAAAACGCAAATAGTACATGTTGTCTACGCCTCTGCAACATTCAACACCACAACATCTGCAGAGCTGCAGAAGTATTTTAAGTGAAGTCGATAGTGCAGTGTATAGAGTTTTTTCACAACATCTGCAGAGCATAGTCGATAGTGCAGTGTATAGAGTTTTTATTACTGTAGTCATGTCACAGAATTATATGAAATAATGCAAACAAATGCAAACAAATTCTGCTTGTTTTACTACCGGATGTCAGGTAGAAGAAGAACGCGATATGACGTTGCTTTGTCAGCAGCAAGCTGTAAACAAATCAAAAAATTCTTCTCTGTGTGAAAAGTGAAGAGAATGGGACTGATCACAGATCAGATGTGACGATAAACGGTACAGCTTAAAGGTTCTGTCCCTCTGACACACAATAACCATTTTATACATTGTTGTTATTTATTTATATGAAATCTCGCACAAACATTTATGTTTTATGCCAGCCGTGTGATTTCCCTCAAGTCAAGACCAAGAATCTCATGACACAAGAATGTTTGCCTCCGTATGGTTAAACAGCCACTAATCATTTGTGTTCTGACCTCCTTCTTTCTCTACTTCTCTTTTTTCCTCACTAATCCCTCCTTCTTAACTCCTTCTACTCCTCCTTCTTCAGTTCAACACTAACGCTCCTCTTAAGACGCTGCTGATGTGCTGGGGCCCCTACGCACTCGTGTCCTTCTACGCCATTGTAGAGAACGCCGCCCTGGTCTCTCCTAAGCTCAGAATGGTAAGGGCCACCCTTCAGTTTGCGCCACTATTTTTAACAAATGTCTTTTCAACACTGACACTGCTGCTGCTGCACCTGCCCCTGCAGATGGCTCCCATCATGGCCAAGACGGCCCCGACCCTGGACGTTTTCCTATACGTGCTGGGAAATGAGAACTACAGGGGCGGCATCTGGCAGCTGCTCACGGGAGAAAAGATCGAAGCGCCGCAAATAGAGAACAAGTCCAAATAAACTAAGCATGCAAAGAAAACACACACAACACGTTCTCAGTGGTTTCTCACAGGTACCAAATGATCTCTGTTTGTATTTGTGTGTGTGTGTGTGTGTTTGTGGTGTCTCGTGCACAGTGGTGGCTCTTGTCCTGATCAAACATTTGTCTCTGGAGTCACACTGTTCCTATGCTGTGTTGTGCAGACTGACATAAACAAAAAGTGACTATGAACTGTATCTGTCCCGTTCATGTTAAATCCCAGCAAAAAGTCCACAACAGTGGACGTGAAACGTTACGAAAGGCATGGTTTCTCCCAATCGGAATAAAATTAATTTAGTTTTTTTCCTCAAATTAATATCAGATGATGAACGTTATGATAAATTGGCGGCAGTTCACAGACGTTGTTTAGAACTGAAATACAAGCCTGATGTTCAGACGAGTTGGTACAGTTCCTTAAAATGCAAACTTTTTAATAATCAGCAAGATGAAGGCACTACAGTGAGTTTTAGTCATGTGAGGCCATAAAAAAGACCTCCGTGATCTTTGCCCCAGACATTGTAACATCTGGTCAACAATCAGTCAAAGGCTGAAGAGATCCTGTCCTGATGGAAAAGTCAATTTATTTACATTCCTGATAAATGGCATTGTGACTGGAGCAGCCTTAGCATCAATGCTACCTTCTCTTACAGTATACTCTATATATAGTCCACATGTGACCACTGACCACCTCTTCACCTTTGACCTGTAGAACACATCTATTTCCTCTCCCTCTTTGACTCTTCCAGTTTGAGGACGTTCCATTGACTTAGAGCAGACCGTATAGAACCACAAAGATTTTTAAACCCTAAGACCATTCTGTTATGTACATCACGGTAGCGCTTTAGTTCGTGGTATAATTTGACTCAAAGGTCATGCACATTCAGCAGAAATTTCTCCAAAGTAACAGTAAAATTAACCAAACCTTTGGAGGACGGTCCTTTATACTCTGCCCTGATACCAAAACTTGCTGCGCGTTTCTGAAAATGTTTTTTAGATTTTCTAATGTTTCTAGAATAGAATTGGATTGAAGTATTGTAGTTTTCCTGCATTCTTAAGACTCTACTAGTCTACCAACCCTCTGGACAGGTGTGTGTGAATCAAATATCTTTTGGATTTAATGCTGAAAATCTGAATTAGAATAAGATAGCACAAGGGAGAAACAGCGCCAGATTAAACATTTTTAAGGGTACTGTCTTAAAACAGAGGCACAAAAAGGTGAATGTATATTATACACTGCTAAGGTGTTAAATACAAAATATAAATAATAACATGACAACTCAGAAACACTCAGTAACACTTTCACAAAAAGCAAATATATGTAAGATTCCCATCGTTCAAAGACTTCCTTCACTAAAAACCATCCAGTTATATATGTCCTTAAATATTTTTAGTCAACAACGTCAGGACCTATAAACCAATACGGGAACATTCTAGGCCTCCAGCAGCAGCAGTGTCCAGCCCTAATCCACCAAACAAGGGGAGCATTCATCAACACCAACCACAGGTTACAGATTAGTGGTCAGCTGCAGAACAAGACGACAGGCTTCTCACCTCCTGATTAACGGACGAAATCGAGAGAGAAGTGTGGCCTGTCGCACGAGTCACTTCTAATGACGAGTTTACAGAATCTTTTTAATCTCATGCCTGAGAGACAAATTTAAAAATGTTTTTCAAGTGGACGTTGACACGAGCAAACATTTAATTCAGACTCATTTCTCTATAAAACGGTTCATCGCTAACATTTACTTCACTGGACACACGTTCTACTGACTTAAAACTATACATTTAATAAGGCACAGAAAAAAGTACACGAATAATGAGAAGGACAAGAATCAGCACAGATCAGTTATTATGTTTATGACGGAGGTTCCTGAACTTTTGTTTTCAAGAATTCGTTTTTTGATCATATTTATTGTACTGTGTTGCAAATACAAAATATATGTGAGTGTGTGTGTGTGTGTGTGTGTGTGTGTGTGTGTTGTAAGTTGAAAAAAAGGATTTGTGAAATTGAAAAGACATAATGGAAGGAATTGATAAAAAAAGGAAATGTGATCAGTTACTAGACATTTCAGGCGACACCATTAGAATTCCAGATGATCCCACATGGGGTTGCGACCCCAAAATTGAAAAAAAAGATTTGTGAAATTGAAAAGACATAATGGACATTTTTGATAATGGAATGGAGATGGTTTTAGGTTTGAAATTATATACAGTACAATTTTATTTTTAAATAAGTATAAACATGTTTAAATTGCTCTAAAGAAATCACAAAAAAAATCTTAATTCCTGTATTTTGTCTTTTACAGTGTGTTGAATTCTCTGTCTATTTATTTGCCATTAATATTTTTAATTTTTTATTTGATTTAAATGTTTGTTTCCTGCACAGTACTTAACCTGTTAGACTGTCAATGTTGAAAAACTAATAAAGAACCAGAAAGTGTGTTGACCATGATTTGACCATGTGACCTTTGACCTCCTGTCTTTGACAACATTAGGTCTGTACTGCACAGTACAGTACGTTCCAGAGTTTAAAAGTAAATAAACCAACCTAACAGTGTAACAGGTTTCCAGGTACTTGTTACCCTGTTGTTCTTGGCTCGTCTCGGTCTAATTAAAAAGATCATAGAGGCTTGTACTCACTGTCAGGTATCTGAGCAGGCCGGTTGTCATCAGCCGTCAGTCTGTGGAGCTGTGATGACGCTGTAGTATTCACACACGTGCAGGGGATGGTGTCCTCATCAGTGCAGTTCCACTTCATTCAACCATCTGCAGGAAAACACACAAGAGTTAGTTTTAATGCGAAGTAAGAAAAGAGCTAATGAAAAAAAAAGAGCAAATATTATGACCGTAATAATTTAAATTTAAAAGAAAAAATGTCCCTGGACATAGAGTAAAATTACAATAAGTACAATAAAAATGAGATTTTTCTGTCATCACCCGTAAAATAAACAAGTACTTTTGCTAAGTCCAAATGTAACTGTTGTAAATATATTATACATATGATATACTACATATATCATGTATATGTTTTAAAATATATTGAAGCATATTGGACTAACATTTGAAGAAATAGTGTCTTTTCTTCAGTGCTAAACCAAGAAGTTTAAAAAAAAAATAAAAAATTCAGAGGGAACAGCAACAACATCACCACAGAACCTGAACAAGGATGAATCCAGAGGAGATGAGGGCTGTGACACAAATAGAACGGGAGAGAAAGAAAATGTCACGTCCCCCATGTCTCACTTTGATATGAACATTTTAATGGTCTTTAAAAAAAAAAAGGACTCAAAGTCAGTCTGCTGCCTCAGGTTAATCACACTTGTGTTTTTTTTTTTCTTGGAGATGTGCAATACTGATGCCACACACACACACACTCCAAATTAAATTTGGAAACATAAATATACACCCTCTCCCTGTAGGAAACTGAAGTCCACACAAAGACAAAGAGAATGTCCCCTGACGTGCAAATAACACACACAGAGAGAGGCTTGTGGAGCAGCCTCAGGACAATCAGGGGTCTGGCTGAACACAGCTGTTCTCCAATCAGCACACTGACCCTGGTCACTCACACTGTTGAGAAGATGTGATTGACGCAAAACAAATGACGAGATCAATGCTGACACACCCGCTCCACGCTGGGATAAGAATCAGAAACACAATCATAATCTGCTCCGGGAAACATTTGCTTCAAAGCAACTGTCTTTTTCCTTTTCATGGGATTACAGCTCGACTTTAATCTGGATTAAAACGCATCTGTGCGTCACTGCTATTTGAAAATGTCTTTTTTTTTTCAATTCACCACTGTACAGTACGTGGCACTAATGACACCATGACTTACACACACCACAGTTACTGTTCAGTACTACAAGGTACACAACTTAAATACACCACAACTGAATTAAAGTGCAATCAAGAAACATTCAGTGAAAAATTGTATCAACAACAGAAGGTCTTCAAAATGTTTCAGGTTTTTCATTCATTGCAACGTATTGCTTTCATTTGAATTTGGGGGAAATTGTTAATAACTAACAATAATGTGTTGTTTTTTTTTATTTACAACCTTTGCAGTACCTCTATGGACCCACTAGAGGTCGAGGAACCGCTGTCTCTGGCAGAATTTTAGACACCTGAAAAGTGTTAAACAAACTCAACAGACGTTGCCATCTGATTTATTGTGGTTCACGTCTTTGTTTTGTTAATGAATTTTCAATCAAATATTTGATTTATTTTTATTTTATTTGTATTTTCACATCACTACCCCGAAGTACAATGTGTTTTGGGAATTTTGACTATAAAATATTGTAATCTATTCCATTCAGTCACAAAGACCACAATTACAGATGATTGTTACAGATAACAGTGTTCATCACTACAGTTATATTACTGTAGTTCTTTCTCTCTTCTTCTGCTGCTCTCCTCCTCACATACCCCCTCTTAAAAAAAAAAAAAACTCTGAGAACTCTGATCCTGTGATTCTGTGTAGATTGCCTTGCAGTAATGCAGAAATATTTGTACCGTTTAATTTCAGAAAAAAAGGACACTGGTATTTCCCCTGACTCTGTAGATCACAGCTGGAATGTGAACCATGTGAGCTCGTGTAGACTCGTGAAGGACGGATTTACTTTGAAAAAAATGTCTGTCACTACTGCAGCAGGACTTCAGCTGCGGTGCTACATTATAAACCTTTACCATAGTGTACACAGACGTATAAGCTCTATGACGAAGTTAGCTGCAGGACTTCAGCTGCGGTGCTACAGACGTATAAGCTCTATGACGAAGTTCTCTTGACACATTTGTAACTAATGACTTCCCCTAGGCTCAGTTTTCTCTCATTTTCAGCCTGTGTTGATTTGGCTAATGTGCACTGGGATGTAGTTACAACCGTCACTCATCAATAACTGGACGACCAGCCGTGATGGATGTTCATGGAGCTTTTTCTTAGTTTCTCGCGATCGTAAAATAGAATCAGAATCATTGAAAACACAACAGCAACAAAAGTCATTCTTTTAACTCAGCAGTGTAGTGCTAACTGTAGCCTGTACGACACACTCTGAGCTGAGCTTTCACCAACGTGACACCACATTTTTGTCTAAAAATAAAACTTTGAGCTGCTACTGGTTAAATTCCTAACATTTTACCCTGGATTGAACCCTACTTTAATCTCATTTGTTTCCCACACAGCAGACAACATACTTGGCTGCATTAAGCTGTTACAGCTGTTTTACAGTGAAGTTTCTAAAGTAGTAAATTATACTTTTTTTAAATTATCATTGTTTTTCAGATTAGTTTATTCCAAATAAATAAATGTGTTTGACTACCAAACAAACTTCAAACTTCATTGTTCAAATTTAAGCTTTTTTTTTTTTTTGTTGTACAATGAAAGGGAAAGTTGCTGCCATTCAATGTACGTCGACACAAAAATCCTAAGGCGAGCTTGAGCCAGGGAATGTATGAGGAAATGAGGCAATGCTGACCTCTACTGGAAGAATATGATCAGAACACCTGATTTTTTTTTGACGGACAGCTGTTTAAAAAATGTTTAGCGTGTCTTTAACACACATAATTACATATATAAATATAATTATATTTTTTACCACGTTGATATAAACCTTATTGATACAAGTTTATGAATTGAATGTGCAAACCTTGACCTTGACCAAACCTTGACCTTGACCAAATAAATAATTGACTCACACTACGAATAACCTCCTACAATTAATGGCTACCTGCCTTATTTCTGCAACAAAAATACAAAAAAGAAAAATCAGTCTGTACGTTTACTATGAGATCTTAAATCAAACATTCTCTTTTACTTTTACTATGAGATCTTAAATCAAACATTAGCCCACTAGATGTCAGCATCGCTCTTTGTGGAGTTACAGTCTCGAGCATCGCTTTACTCCAAGTCGAATAGTCCGGCAGCAAAGAAAAGCAAAGAAAATCTGACAGTAGCACTGAGGATTTTGTGCAGCATAAATATCCAGATAGAGAGAAAGAGGTCGAACACAAACGTCCCAACTCATTTGAGATAATTACTTAAACAAGATGACTGATCTCTTAAAATTGAATTATGTGGCTCCATTAGTGAGATTGTTCTCCAGACTCTGACGGCTGCAGATACTTTTTGGCTCCAGCAGATGGCGCGGCACAGCTGTTACTGAAGTTGTCAGTAAACTACCAAGACTTTTATTTTTTTCCTTAGAGGAGCGTCTTGGAGAATGTGGTGCTGCAACTGTTAATACATTCAAACGATTCATTTTTTTCTACTGTGATTCTGATGCGCGTGCATTTTGAGTCGCAACGTTTAGTTTGAAATTAGGATTCGGGTCAGATTAGATTCTGATTACATGTTAGGAATAGCCGTACCATAAAGGTTAAATAAATTCACAAACAAGTCACAAAACCGTGTGCATTCCTAAATAATCGCACATTCGATTCGTTTATCTTCTGCAGTTTTTTATTTCTTGCTACTTTGTGACTTAAAATGGATAAAGATTACTAAGTTAAAACAGAACAATTATTAAAATTGCTTTGACAGAACTGCCTGGACTGCAGTATTCCGTCGGGGGTTTGTGTTTAATTAGCATAAAAGATCTGTTGGAGAGTGGTGGGACCNTCTCTTTCAACCATCGACGGGGGCGCAGAACACGGACTAAGGCAGAGAGTTCGCTCCTCGGAAGCCGGCACTGTGAAGGTTGAGGTGAATACAAAGCCCGAGAAAGACTCTGAAGCAACTTGGGATGACGGGAACAAAACGGCTTCAAGTCACGAATGTGGACATGCGCCTGCGATGACGGAGGACGCGAGGGACCGCGAGGAGGTAAAAGAGGAAAAAAGTTATCTAGTTCATCAGTGAGGCTCCCGGCGCCGGAGAAGAAACGGAAACACACTGGACAGATGCGCCTGTCGTGCGTAAATCTGTAGGAACATCATCGGGAGGAAGACGATTTTTACATCTGATTAACAAGACCTGAGCCAGGGACGGAAATAATCATGGAGCCGGAGGAGACCAAAGAAGAGCAGGGCACCAGTTTGGCCCAATCCGCCGCCGCCAAACTGTCCCGAATGAGTGAAAGAACTAAACAACTGGGCAACGTGATCCAAGACCCAGTGCGCCAGAAACGGATTATCCTGGTGATAGTCTGCGTGGTGCTTTTGTTAGACAACATGCTTTATATGGTGATTGTGCCAATTATACCCGCTTATCTAGAGGGGCTCCAGAGGGCAGCGGACCAAGCCCTCGACAATCCCGTGAACCAGAACTTTACCAACTCCACCATCCACAAAAGCGCAAAGGAGAACTTCGACCTGCAGATAGGAGTTCTTTTCGCCTCCAAAGCCATCGTGCAGCTCCTGATTAACCCCCTCAGTGGAACCTTCATAGACAGGGTCGGGTATGAGATCCCGCTCTTCATAGGGCTCAGCATCATGTTCCTGTCCACTGTCACCTTTGCCTTCGCTGAGAACTATGCGTCCCTGTTCCTGGCGCGCAGCGTGCAGGGAGTGGGCTCGGCGTTCGCGGACACTTCAGGGATCGCCCTGATCGCAGACAGATACACAGAGGAGAAAGAGAGGAGCAAAGCCCTGGGCATCGCCCTGGCCTTCATTTCTTTTGGAAGTCTCGCGGCGCCCCCATTCGGAGGGATTCTCTTCCAGTTCGCAGGGAAGTCTATTCCTTTCCTGATCCTGGCCTTGGTGTGTCTAATAGACGGAGTTCTGTGTCTGGTTGTGCTCAAACCGTTCTCTCAGCGGGAGAGGGAGAACATGCCGGTAGGAACCCCCATCTACAAACTGATGCTTGACCCTTACATAGCCGTAGTGGCCGGTGCTCTGACCATCTGCAACATCCCTCTGGCCTTCCTCGAGCCCACGATTGCCAACTGGATGGAGGACACCATGCATGCCAGTGAGTGGGAGATCGGCATGACCTGGTTCCCCTCCTTCTTCCCACACGTGCTGGGTGTGTACCTCACCGTCAAACTAGCAGAGAAGTACCCGCAACTGCAGTGGTTTTACGGCGCCATAGGTATGGTGTTCATAGGCGCCAGCTCCTGCACGGTGCCCGCCTGTAAGAACTTTGGCCAGCTCATGATCCCGCTGTGCGGAATCTGCTTCGGCATCGCCTTCGTGGACACGGCGCTCCTGCCCACACTGGGTTTCCTGGTGGATGTGCGACACGTGTCCGTGTACGGCAGCGTGTACGCCATCGCAGACATCTCCTACTGCTTGGCCTACGCGCTAGGGCCTGTGGTGGCCGGACAGATAGTTCACGACCTGGGCTTCGTTCAGCTCAACTTGGGCATGGGCCTCGCCAATGTGCTTTACGCGCCAGCGCTCCTTCTCCTGAGTAATGTAACCAAGATGAAACCTTCGTTCTCAGAGAGAAACATGCTTCTGGAAGACGGTCCAACAGGACTGTACGATACGATTAAGATGGAAGAGCGAGAGAAGAAGAGGAAGGGACTGTGCACAACAATCGACGACAACGGCATCAACACGTTTGCGCAGCGGTCGCCCTCAGAAGAGGATTCCTCCGGCGCAGAGTACGCGTAAAAGAGTTGTTTTTTTAACCCAGTGTTAAACTATCAAAGTGCCATGTAGGTTTGTGTGCATCCTGACTGTCTCACATAACACGGTTTTCATTGTGTAGCATCATTTATTTACGGTAGCTGGTGACAGTCCCTGCGGAGGGGGGTGTCAAACCATTTGGCTTCAAGCTTTCAGGCAGCAGAAAAAGCGCTCGTCTTGTGTGTGTGTGTGATTGTGTGTGTGTGTGTGTGAGTGTGTGTCAACCAAAGTGAGTGTATTGTCTAAGTATCCGTCCAGGCATCACCAGTATTTACCACCGTATCAGAAACCAACTCATATTCAGGGACTGTGTGTAAATGTACTGTTTTTGACAGAAGGTGACGCTGTAATAATGTCTTTGGCTCTGACCTGTGTGTCTTCGGAGTTGTGTTGCTAAAAACCACGATATGCAAAACTGCGTGTTAAGTTTTGGGAAAAACAGGGAAAAGTCTGATGGAAAAAATCTGTGTCTGTGCTGTGTGTATATTTTATTTTATTTTATTGATTTAATTTATTTATTTGGATGATGTAGTCCTGGAATGCAAAGCCTCAATGTATGTTCTGAGACTGTACATACATGTATATTTATGTACATAATTAAACCCAAAGGCTATTATCTGACTGGTGTTATTTATGGAATTTATTTATTATTTACTGTTACTGGTATTTTTAAAGGCCTCAATTAAAAGGAAAAACAAATATTACGATGGTGTGTAAAATGTAATAAAATATTAAAATATGTAGCTAATATATAAAATATTTTGCCTTGTAAATTAGTAAACATTAAAATTGAGTCATATAAATCTAAATACCTGGATTCTACTAATGAGTAGCAGAGAAATAGAGTATGTGCGATTATTAAAAGACGGGATTCTGTTAAATTAAGAATGAAAAAAAAAAAGAAATCACACTGCATTTGTGCTGAGATCTAAAAACTACAGGCGTCCGCATTCCGTATGTACAAAAAGAAGGATCAGTCAGATCTGCGAGGAAATGTGTGTCTAGATTTCTCCAAAGAAGAAGGAGGGGTAAAAAAAAATGTCCATAATTACTCCTCAGCTCAGCGTGTGAGCTCCACGGGCGTTCAGTCATCATCTAACCAAGGTGGGGTGAGGATGTGGAGAGTCAAATAAAGTTCTCGACGAATGGCAGGAGTTCTGGGAGGAGCCTGGGAGCCAGGAGGCTGAGGTACCTTCTCAGCATCTCTGCCTCAGCCTTTGAGGAAGTCGAGCTACGCAGAGGGATTGAAATATGATCCAAACAATAAAAGGACCAAAGTAAAAAAAAAAAAAAAGAAGAAATTCTAGGATGTAAGTAAATCCAGTAATAATGGAAAAATCTCAACTTTCTTCTTAAGGATCTGTGGGAGCGTCTCCTTCTACTGACTGGTGAGCGAAACATTTTTCCATGCTTTGCATCTAACTGGGCTTAGGACTGTATTAGAATAAAGGTGGTGGGGTGGACACTGGTGGATGTGATAGTTGCTCCAACATGCATGTGGTAAAAGTGTGCAGTCGTTACTAGAAGCTACTCAGATTGTCGGTGTTGAATGTTTCGCTGCAGAGACGGGATTTTCTTCTGTCTGTGAACAGAGTCTGGCTCATGAATCAACCTGTCTGACTTCACACCTCCACACTGACAACATGCCGGTCCTGGAGCCACAGTCCTCCAAAGAAGCAGGGCTTGATGATGTAAATACTCTCTATGTCTAAGTCATATGTTCTGGATTTTACTACAGCCTCCATTATTCGCATAAATTATTAAAACTGTCATTCATTGAGTGTATGTGTGTTTACAATTTAAATAATAAATTTTAAATGTGCTATGTACACAGCTACTTTTCACAAAAGATAGTATATGTTGTTGTACACTGTTGTGATATATGTAATTCATTTAGGTAAGATTTTCCTTTTTATGTGTTTCTACACATTAAGACATGCACGAAGAAACACGTAAACATTTGATACCTTTAAAATTCTCCCTGAACCTGTTGTGAATCATTTTCTCCACGACCCGTCACATCCCTCTGTTCTGACACTGAGATACGAATTGCCATCATTTTGCAAGTTAAATTTCTTTTTATTACTGTTATTATTTTTGCATGAACAAATTAAGCCACACAAAAATGTGAGTGTGATTTTTTCTATGGTATATGATCTCAGCTCGCCAAAATCAGACCTTAGAACAACACTTTATAGAAGCCTTTTGGTCCATTTTACATGACCTTTGACCCAAGTTTCCTGTAATGTTAAGAAGACAAACTTGATATTTATCTTCCTAACGTTGTTTACAATCTTTATCGAGGGATCAGTCAGGTGATTAGTAGGCCTGAGCCCATGTACCATCATGGTAATGTTTATGCCCATAAAGAATTCAAAAGTCGAACATTTGTTGCTAATAATAAAATGTACCATCATTTGTTAAAATAACAATTTAGTATTTGAATCATTCTCTTTAGGGTCTGCCAAAGCTGCCGCTCCCGGCCCTCAAAGATACGCTGGACACATATCTGAGATGCATGAAGCATCTGCTCACAGAAGAACAGTTTCATAAGACGCAGAAGGTCGTGAAGCAGTTTGGAGCCCCTGGAGGAGTAGGGGAGCTACTACAGCGCAAACTTGCAGAAAGGAGGGAAAACAAGACAAACTGGGTAATTCTGAGCAGTTCTATTATAAGCACCGTGGATAATAACTCACGTCGGTTATTTTTTGACTTTTAACACTAAACGTCAGAATGAAGCTGAAGGGTGATTAATCCACACAGTCTTTCACATTAGGAGTTCTGGTAAACATCGCAGCACAGGCCAAGGGCCAAACACTGACTTTTTAAAAATACCTTCTACAGAAATGTGTAGCAACGCAGCATTTGGATGTTGTTTGCTTTTGTCATATTATTATTATTATTAAATAGAAATGACTTTTTTTCGTACATTTCAGTTGAATTCAAGTTAAATTAGTTTATTTAATTCTTTGTCAAGGATTATGTTTAATTCATTTTTTAATAATGTTGACCTTTCTTTTGTAATTTTTATGAAATATTTTTCTGCTTTAAAAAAAAAAATCCTTGCTCTGTGTTAATAGTATTTTAGGAATCACGTCTTTAAGTGGAGCTGCAGATTATGTCCCAGAACAGTGTCATCTTTGTGTATGTATCTCTCTGTCAGGTGTACGATTACTGGCTGAATGACATGTACCTGAACAACAGACTGGCTCTGCCCGTCAACTCCAGTCCAGTCATGGTCTTCCCCCAGCAGAACTTCAGGGCTCCCATCGATTCTTTAAGGTAGATAATAAAAGAAAAAATTAGTCACATGAAACACGAAAATATACTGGTGTCCTGTATAAATTACTGTAAAGTATAAACTAGTAAGATAAAGGCTCTGATTGAACACAGGTTTCCAAATAGGGTCATTACACTGACCATCCACAGAGGTTGGACTGTGGCAGGGGTCAGTGACCAGTAATAGCTTTGGTTTCGTTCACATAGTATTGATTTGCGTCCTTTACCAGGAGTCACATCAGGACTAATGCTGATAGGTTACTCACATTTGCCAAATAAATACAAATGAAACCACATTCAGACAATGAAGCATGGAGTTTGACCAAACAGTTCCATGTTTATGGTTTTATTTAAAATGAAAAGCAAAGCAAAGATTTCCTCTTCTAACCCAGGTTTGCTGCACACCTACTGTCCGGGGTTCTGGAGTATAAAACCATCCTTGATGCGTGAGTAAATGCACAATCACAGCATGTATGCTTGAAGTATGAATGAAACTTTATGTAACAGCACTGTGTGTGTGTGTTTGTGTGTGTGTGTGTGTTTGTGTGTGTGTGTGTGTGTGTTTGTGTTTGTGTGTGTGGGTTTGTTTGTGTGTGTAGACGTCCCCTGCCTGTGGACTACGCCTGTGGACTACGCCAGGGGCCAGTTGGCTGGAACCCCTCTGTGTATGGAGCAGTATTATCGCCTCTTCACTTCCTATCGTCTACCAGGACCTCAGAGGGACACACTGGTGGCCCAGGAGAGCTGTGTGATGCCAGAGCCTGAACACATCATTGTGGCTTGTAAAAACCAGGTCAGAAATATTCATAATAAATTACAATGTTAACAATACCAATAGTAGCTAGAGGTAGAAAAAAAATCATGTCATTAGCCAAATTCAACCCAGCTGTTTTGATGGGCTATCACTGTCCATCCAAAGGTCAAAGTCTAGGCTACAACAACCAGGAACATCTGCTAATACGACAACCCTGCCAGTATATAGTCCGTGTGTACTGGGGGGCAACTCTAGTACACATTTGACATGATCGAACCAGTCAAATATAATTACACTGCGGGCCAGATCTGGCCCCCGAGCCCGAGTTTGACACACCTCCCCAGGTGGACCTTAGAGGTTTCTATAAGTTTACTAAAGCGGGGGGTGAGGAGGTCGGGGGGCGGGCAAGGTGACTGTTAAACTATCCCAGTGCACCACTGAGAGTTGATCTTCAATCACTGTCGTGTTATTTCCCCTTTCAGGCCTTTTTCAGTTGCCTTTAATTTTAAATCCTGCACTCCGTCAATTTAGATAATTTGTAACACAGTTTTCCCAAACAGTTGATGGATGAATAAAAGGACCATTTGAATTTTCCTGACATTTCCTTGGCTTGCAACTTGCTTAATGACTAATGATATTTTATCTAGGTATTTTGTTAAAAAAACACAAAGAAAACTGGCTGTGACATCTTTTAAAAAAATGCATTAATGAATGGCTTCAGTCTAATCTCCTCAGTATATAACCTGAAGATTTTTTCTTTTTTGTTTCCTTTAAGGTGGATAATACATTCACAATTATCAAATGTCCAGTGCTTTGCTGCTGCTTCTCTAAGAAGTCTGTCACTCACATGAGACCATTCTCCACCTGCAGCCCTTTAATTAGACCAACCGTTCCCATTGATTTTGAAGGATGAGGAAAAAGTTGAAGATCCAGGTCTTGCCTGCTATTAGGGTGGTTTAGTTTTTAATGTAAAGAATCTACTGTACCTTGAGAGGAAACACAAACGGTTTGATCTTATCTGTGTGTATGTCAGAAAAAGGTGGCATCAGTTCAAAGTTACTGTCTATACAGTCACAAACATCGCCTACTCTGTCATCGCTCTGACTATAAAGAGACGCCTCTGTTGTCTGCCGTTTATGCAGAAACTTGCTTCCCCGTGTAAGGTACAGCTACAGTAAATGTAGCCTACGCATCATTTTCACCATCAATCAGTTCTGCTACTGTGCCTGGTAATTAGACCATACATCTGTGTCACTCACTGTGTCTGTTGGTACAGCAAACAGGCTCTGCAGACACAGTGCTGACTTCTCCGAAAGACAGTAATTAACAGCGCGGCCTTCTGGCAAGTCCTCTCTATTGACTATATCTCTATAGCATTTGCGACACTGGCAAATCAGTCTGTTGCTCGTGGCAGCGTGCCACAGCAGTTTCTGATTAAGTAAAAGAATACGAAGTGAGTTAAAAAAAAGTGCCAGTGTGGTCATGGTCTGAAGTGAGTTAAAAAAAAAAAAAGTGCCAGTGTGGTCATGGTCCAGGAGATGGCATTGTGGGGGGGTATTTTCCTTTTTTTTTTTTTTAAAGCATTGCCAAAACAGGTCACAGCACTGATTCATAGTCAAATGACACCATTGAGATCTGTGTTTATATTTACCTGTGTCTAGTTCTTTGTGCTGGACGTGGTGATCAACTTCCGTCGACTGAACGAAAGAGATCTGTTGACTCAGCTGCAAAAGATTGTAAAGATGGCCGAGAGTGAAGAAGAGCGCCTCCCACCCATAGGTGTTCTCACTGCAGATGGACGGACGGAGTGGGCAGAGTCTCGTGCTGTCCTGGTGAGAGGTACACCAAGAAATTATCAATATTTTCAAAAAATTGGATTAAGCCAGTCATATTCTGATATTTAGTGTTAAAAGTTGCAACTAACTGACTTATTATTATTATTCACGGTGCTTATGATAGTACTGCTCAGAATTACCAGTTTGTCTTGTTTTCCCTCCTCTTTTTCAGTTGTTCTGTAGTAGCTCTCCTACTCCTCCAGGGGCTCCAAACCGCTTCACAATCTTCAGAGTCTTATGAAACTGTTCAACAGGACAAATACATTTAAATAGACTGCAGTTTTGAAGGAATGACAGTGTTTCACATAAGGTTCAGTGAAGATTTGCAGCAAACGCTGTGAAAGTGTCAATGTGGGGGTCAC